TCGGATGGAAATTTCTCCCAAAAATCATTGGATTACCCCCCAAAATTGAACAGAAAATGAAAGATGGTGAAATATGCTTTCATTTGATGCGTGTCTTGAACGCCTCAGAGAGTTGTGGGTATTTTTTAAAATAATTTTGGGAAGTGCGCGTAAATTACCATTAAGGTCTATGGCAGTCTATTTACTGGTCTGTCGATCCCTCATTTCTAATGCGTAGTTGAGGGGTGCATTTTCTAATTTCTAATGCGTAGTTGGTGATGCATGTGTGGACAGCTTGGGACAGACAGCGTCGTGAGCGGTTGTCAGCACCTGTACAACAAGTGATGAGTACGCGGGGGGTTAAAAGCTAGAGCATCTATGCAAGGCATAGATTCCTCTAGTTGTGCCCTAGCTGGCAGTTTCATCTCTTTTGCCTCATCTTCATCTTCATGGCACCAAGGCCTAATTGCATGGCGCTACTTAAGTGTCGGGGGAAAAAAATGAACTTCCTTATTTTAAAGTAGCAAATTTCAAGTTGTAAACACTTGTAACCATTCTACACCACAATGCCCCAGAAGATTACGGTCATATTGACTTGTATACTGATGCGATCAAGCTAAATCAGTCGTTTGTCGACCCTGGTCAATTTCTTTTTTACAGTTTTGAAAAGAGCACAATCCCAGCATTACTGATGTGAAAACCGCATGTTGATACCATCTTTAGTTCACAAATTATGGAAGTCTGAACACCAAGAGATATGATGAAGTAATGTTATGAAGTGGCCCTATTTGGACCTGAATCTCCAAATAAAAGTTCCCAACAAACGACTCATTTAGCTTGATTGCATCACATATGGTCAAGTTTGTAGACCTTACATTGTAAATTTAGGCATAATAAGATAGTGGAAGAATCAGAAATTCTGTTTGTTTCAGCTCAAAATTGATTTCAATGGTTCACTGCACCTCCACTCCAGCTGATGTGCTATGTAACCAGCTAGTTTTAAAATTCTGAGCTGATAACGGATCCCGTACCCGCACCATTTCTGACGGTCCCTATTATTAATTAAATACTCTCCACGCACTAGGCTTTTTATTATGCACTAGGCTTTTTATTACCTCAAATCGGCCCTCCATGCCATAAATTTTCAAGATCGTTTGGGGTCACTGATTCCCTTAAAATGTTAATTCCAAACTGCCCGCATGATTTACCCATTACAGTTTGATATTCAACCACCCAGCTTGGTTTACATACATGATGCATGTGCATTTGGCCGGTTCCACACATCGCTAATTACCCAAAACACTGTTGGGACAAGAGCCGGTACCCAGGTGGTCTTGCATTACATGACATCACAACATGCAGTGCTCGGTGTAGGTAAAGGAGGATGCGTGTACATTACATAGACTTGCCCAATTTGGGTTCCAGAAAGGAAATTTGACTCGCGCCAATCTGAGCACATTTGGTCACGGTATACATGTACATGTACGTGTCGTATGTTGTCCTGTGGTTTTGATTATTTTATTTTGTTTGGTACGGTTACCTCATTTGTCTCATGTTTGCTTTCGTTAGGCCTTTTTATCTCAAATCTTTTGTTCACTCCAAAAAGTACGGTACCTCAATTAAGAGTCCAATTTCTAACCAGGTTGAATTAAAAGTGGAACACACCTCCAGGCTGCCTTCAACATGGCTTGAAAATATAAAAAGACTTTAAATTTGTAAACAAACATTTAAAAGGACTCTAAGTTGATTAAGAAATGTAAGTTTGATAGAGGAAGGTTGTGCTACACGAACCGTAGATGAAGGATCAAACCTCTTACGTACATCCTCCTAACATACAATTTTAAAGATCAGTAACTTTAAAATAGCAGATATTGACTAATTTTGAAGATAATAATAATAATAATCATACCAGAGTCTTACATGTATATAGCACGCGTATCTACCAACAATTAGTTACTCAAGGTGCTAATTAATATGAATTTATTTTAAAGACAGGTAAAAGATAATATATATTTAAATCAATCCAAAATGTATGGAAAAAAATATAGGGGAATTTCATCCATAAAAAAATAGAAGTAGAAGGCTGCTCCACACCCTCTGCTAAAAGCTAGAAGCAAAACAAAAGCCGTCGGGAGCAGATCTGCTACAAGCCCATTTTGATGACGTCAAGGTACGGCTCTACAAGCAAATAACTGTTTTGTGCCATACCCGTGCACATATGCGTGAAGTGCATACACAATACAGCTTTCCATTTTATGATTCACTCGTGAAATGGGACAATATAGGCCTATTGTCTGACAGCCCATCTGATTTTAAAGACTTAACAAAGGAAGAGAGAGGCGCAGTTTTTTTTTTACCAAAATGTTCATGAAGAATTAATGAAATGTTGGAAAGCTTGAGAATTACCAATAGATGACTAATGTAAGGTCGCATCCACGCATCGTGTATGTTTAATGCTATGGACAGCCAATACAGGCCAAGCTTTGATTTTTGTGGGGGCACGAGAGCCGCTGCATGACATACCGGTACTAGTACATGTAAGCAAATGGGCTATTTCTGTTTGCTAACCTCAAGGACGCAATTTTACATTCTGAGTATTCCCGTGCTAGTCTTGTGCCACCAAATGTCATTTTTTTCATCAATGTGGGAGTGAGATACTGGGTACCCTTTTCTTAATAACTGGTAATGGACAAGCCCCAGACGAAAACCGCATTTTTATGGTACTTAATTAAGGCAAAATGGCTGCGTAAACTTTGCATCTTGTACATTATACATGTACATAACAATGTATGTACAGGGTACTTACTTTCATTTGCACTAAACAACAATGAGGAAGGAATAATCTTGTAATACATGTTTGTCATGTACAAACACAAAATGGGTTTCTTGGTATTGCCGTTATTCAAACATATCTTTGGATTTACAAAAGCAATCTCAATGAAACAAAAGGTATTCTCAAACTAAATCTATTACCTTGAAGATGGTGTAAACATCCGCAGAAAATTTTGGTTGTAAATTAGCAAAAATGGAGGGGTTTACATGCACCATTTTTTTCAGGACGCCCTGTATATGTATAATGTGAGCTTGCCATTTACGAAAATGTTGCATCCTCTGAAAGCTAAGGAACAGATCGTAACCTTCGACACAAAAAACTCATTTACAGCGTGCTGCAAAATAGTGCAAATCCCCCAAAAGACAAACAACACACTGGGGCACTCCCAAAAAGTGACCTGATTTGAATGACCCGATCTTTGCCTATCCTTCATAATAATCCCACTGGTGTCGTAGCTAAGGTGTTAAAAGAACCTCCCCCTTCCGTCCGCTCCATTAGCAGTCTCTCACACCATCTCATGATTGCTAAGAACAGGTACAGATCCGGTCGTCACATTTTTTTATTCCCCAAACTATAGCATGGTGTCTAAACTAAACCTCCGACAAAACTGTCAAATCTGGCAGCCTCGCGTCTAGTCGGACAATTCACACTTAACTGATATATAAAGCTCACACCGGTGGCGAGAATCCTGAGATGCTTGCCAGTGCATCTTGGGTAAAGGTTTGACGTCTGTTTGTAAACACTGCTTAGACAGTATGTGGTACTTTGTATGTACATGTACCAAGTGGCTTGCTCAGGATGTTAAAGAGGTTGTGGAATGCTCGAAGACATTTCCGTCATTTTTCGGGTATATGTAGCCTAAGGTGTGATGAAATAAAAACGACTATTATTGTGTCTGTCATGAAATGAGTACAAAAGGTACTTTTGAGAGCTGTTTTTCAGGTCCTGTTTCGACCCGAACGTGCAATTTGTGTAAAAGTCGGCGTTGGGGGCAACAAACAAAACATAGTAAATCGTGACGTAATAAACAGGACTCGTTTATACTACGCTGCATCGGGAGTCCTGTTTATTACGTCACGATTTACTACGTTTTGTTTGCTGCCCCCTACGACGACTTTTACACAAATTGCACATTCGGGTCGAAACGGGACCTGAAAAACAGCTCTCAAAAGTACCTTTTGTACTCATTTCATGACAGACACAATAGTTGTTTTTATTTCATCACACCTTAGGCTACATACATTGTATACCCGAAAAATGACAGAAATGTCTTTGAGCATTCCACAACCTCTTTAACATAGGGGCAACTCCAGCATTATGTTACGTCCGTGACGGAGCTTTTAAAAACTCCGTGAATAAACCTGATAGTCTTTTTTTCAAATCTAATACAGCATCCATCATCTAGTAATGGTGGAGGAGATTACAGACTGGGTGCTTTGGATCATATCTCTGAATCCTTAACTGGGCAATTCCACGGTTACTCACGTTACATTTTTGATGTACTTTTGAGTTTCCTTGGGCTGTAATTACATGTGTACATGTACCTTACTGAACAGGTTTAATAACTGTTATCGCCATGGTAGATAGAGTATACCTAGACCTACCTAATCACCAAAGATGACATCCAGAAAAATGTGTTATGTATGATAAACAAATGTTACGAAAATGTAACGTGAGTAACCGATTTTGTGCATCTTGTTTATTATACATAACACATTTTTCTGGATGTCATCTTTGGTGATTACATGTAGGTAGGTCTAGGTCTACTCTACATGTATCTACCATGGGGATAACAGTTATTAAACCTTTTCAGTAAGGTAATTACAGCCCAAGGAAACTCAAAAGTACATCAAAAATGTAACGTGAGTAACCCTGGAATTGCCCAACCCAATATCGTGGTTAATTGACATCACACTTCCATTCATAATGCTGGAACTGCCAATTATAGCCATTCAGAGGAGAAGTCAGCTTCCAAGTGTTTTGGAGATTTTCTTGGTGGAAAATGATGATTTTTATTTTGGGGAGCTTCCAAATTCTCTTTAGACACTGCAAAATATCCAAAGAAAAAACCTTAAGGTACATATACCTATTAAAGGTTAAAGTGATGGCCAAAATTTGGGGGAGATAATAACCCTTTGAAGAGAACATTTTAAGAATTCCCACGCGGATAAATCAAAGTTGTTCTTACCCTTCCTTCGCTCTTCCAAATGATGAAAAATGCGTATTCATCCACTCGAAAGAAGCAGTTCTGCTCAACACTGCCAGAATCCTGCATGAAAAAAAAATACACCACATTGTAGATTCCTTTTCTAAATTGCTTTTTTTTTTGCTAGCAATACAAAAGTTATTCACATTTGATTGGGACATCAACCAAAAAAGAATCGGCCAATGTTTAGTTATTTAATTATCACTTTACAATTTTGAATTATTGGTTGCCAGACATTCCATTCTTGTGGCTGGTTCCTGCCCCACAACAATCAGTATCGATAATGTACTGGCCGGGAGCCAGTCTGTTTGCAACGCAGATCTGGTTTTTTTTCAGAGGGTTGCAGACATCCAAAAACGGGGGGGGGGGGGGGGGGGGGGGGGGGGGGGGGGGGGGGGGGGGGGGGGGGGGGGGGGGGGGGGGGGGGGGGGGGGGGGGGGGGGGGGAGGGGGGGGGAGGGGGGGGAGAGGTTTGGGGTTGAAATAAAACATACAAGTGGAAATCTATTAAGAGAAAAAAAGATGCAACTTTAAGAGGGAGAGGAGCATGAAGTTGAAGGTGACAGGTTAAGAAAATATTATTACTACAGAAGGGGTAATACATGTAGGAATGCATCTTCTGTATGCACTCAAACTATTTGACTAGTTTTGTACTAGCAGAAGAAACTTGCATGTACAATGTATGCCAACAGATTTGTAATACCCAATTAGAGCAGCCAAACTTTCTATCCAATTTCAAATTGAATGTACCCGGTACCTCGTCAATCCCAACAACAACAAAAATTTCACTTTCAATCATGTTAAAACTAGAAACAAGACTAAAGGATTTGGGGTAATAAAAACACAAACACAAAGATACTACAAGCAATCCCCTCAAAAACCAGTCCCTTCCTTTCTTCGCATTTCATATAAGAGTTGCAATCTACAAACATTTGTATTTCAATGATTACAAAATGCATGGCAGATCAGCTTTTATAACACTCCTAAAATTGCCTATATTGTATAAGTTCTGGTTTATATTTTCTGTTTCTTTATTTTTTTTGTAGGACGGCTATCTCCAGTTATCTAAACCGATCGTGCCGGGGCCGATAATTTACGACTGGAATTCTAGGGGGCCCCTGCGGACGGACGAGGATTTCTTCCTGTAGCCCATTAGGATGACTGCCCCGTGCATGGTGCAGCATCAGGAATGCCGGGGCTATTTTTTTTTCTTTCTTTGACATAAACTGGAATGACGCGGCCTTTGGCATTTTCGCATCATTCCCATCATCCTGGCTGTTGGGTTTTGTCCGTACAGCATTGCATGGCGCTGCGAGGGAAAGGAATCACTGATATATGCCGTTGGCTGGCCCCGCATCAATTCGTCATGTTATTTCCGATGTGTTTCTCGGCCTTTTCATGGTGGAATGTAAACAGGGATGGCGGAGGTGGAGAAAAGTATGGAGGAGGAAAAGAGGAGGCAGGAAGGACATGAAAGGTCTGACTGAAGGTCTTCACATAGCTGCTGCTAACTTTCAACCAAAACAAGTTGTTTTTATTATTGGGATTTTTTCTCTTTTAATTAAAGTTTATTGGCATCTTCATTCATGTACATAAACAACAAGTGTACATGTATACATACTGGAATATGTATCCTTGTGGAGTCATTTCTTTGTTCTCGTGTACTAAAGTTTTGAGTTTGAAAGTATACATGTAGTTTCAAAATGCTCCCATTTTAACCAGAATTAATTTCCTGGGCTGAAATTCGGACTTAATATTCCTTAGGCCAAAAAAAAAATCTCTCCGGTTTCTGGTATGGAGCTTGTCCAAAAAGTGGTGCGGTGACGCGGCTTTTTTTTTTTTTACCTGACTTTTTTGCTTCAAATGTCGGCTGATGACTGCAAATGGTGCCCGACTAAACTTAGTGCAAATACAATGTATATGGGAGTCCAGAGAGGCCACATAAAGCTCATTCTCGATCATAACCCCATCTAAAAACACGTTAAATTTGTGCAGTAGCAGGATTCCAGTCAAACCAGTGAGTTTGGCGGTTTTGAGACATCATCTTTCATTGAAAAAAAAACTTTTTCATTTTGCCGACGCGCATGGCTACGGCGACGCGCGCGCATACCAGAAACCGGAGACTTTTTTGGGGAGCCTTACATAAAATACTTCAATTTGCGACGAATCAACACACCTTGGAAATTCCTAGTTTTTGAGTAAAATACATGTATCTATTTCGTGATAACCTTGTGGAAACGTATTCAAATATAGAAATTGCCCTGTGGAGACATATTCAATCTTTTGTTCCCTATTATACCCATGTCTCTACAGAGTACCGTGTAACAGATCACATGTACATGTGAACGTGTTCATCTTTTCAAACCATGGACGAAAAATACCAGAGAACAAAAGAGAACAATATCGTCCACGATTCCCAGCATACGTCCATGATTGGGGTCGCGTACAAAACCTATGGGAGTCTTCCTAAAAAGTTATAGTACAAACAAAAGAGGGACAATACGACGTCCACGATCAACGGTGAACACACGTTTGCGTGGGTGCATGTTTATGGTGTAAATCTTGGACACACATGTGCAACGCCATCGATGATTTGAGGACAGGAACCAAATCGGGGACGACCCCGATTAGAAAATGTGTACAAAACCAATAAGAGCTGTTGCATAAACAAAGGAAAAAGGAAGAGGAACAATAGAAAATCCTCGATTTACAACATAAACAAACGTGTGAGTACGGTTCATGCATTTCATTGAAAGTGCAATAAAATGGCAATGAATGTATTGTATTTCTTAAATGCAGAATACAGTTTGTGTACAATGTATGTTTGATTGACCTACTGATAACAAGGAATCATAATACAAAATGAGTTGGCGGAAATGTTATAATCTGGAACAAAAACTGCCTGAGGGGGAAAGTTTTCCAATTGTCGCTTCTTTTTTTATTTATCTGTGAGTCAAACACACAGAATCTATTTCTGGCTTTATAACTATTTCTGTATTGTCTTGGTGCATTTCATACAACTGCAGAAATAGATATAAAAGATGACTGGCAAGCTTTAAGCTCAAGTCACCTCAACAATAACAACTATTAAAAAAAGTCTTCCATCAAGTTTTTTTTTCTCCGAAAACGTTGAGCCAGCGCCGCGATAAATCTTAATTTGATTAACGCTGTCATTTTATCCAACCCTCTACACATAAATAACCTTGTGTGTGAAAGAAAACCCACCTGTCCAGAAAAAAAAAATGTAATTTAATTTTGTCCCTGGTATTCCAGAATGTCAGAAATATTGGTTTCTCTGGCATCGATACTGTGTGGGACAGATGCAGTGTTTTGCTCGATACTTCACCTGGGTGACATTCAGATCACAAAGTGACTAAAGAAGCAGCATGTACACGTACATGTACGTTACATGTACACGTATGTACTAGTACGTTTGTTCATGGTGTAAATCGAGGATTTTCTTTTGTTCCTCTTCCCTTTTCCATTGTTTGTACTCTAACTTTTTCGCAACAGCTCTCATTGTTTTGCACACGTTTTCCAACCCAAGAGTCCTCGATTCGGTTTCTGACCTCGATTCACCAATGATGTTGCATGTGTGTGTCCTCGATTTACACCATAAACAAACGCTAGTAATATACACGTACATACACAAATACCGGTCCAACGTCTGATTTACCGGTATCTAAGCATGCAAATTTATGCGACACTGTGCGCCAGCCAATGGGAATCGACATGACATAATTTCATTTCAAAATGTGGACTAAGCTGTTGATTGGTCAATTACACACATTATATAACATATGATGTCATGATCATTCGAAGCAACAGAGCGTTTGCGCATTGCATAACATATCATTACAGGCCACGTGATGCAGCCTTTCTTTGCTCAATTCACAACGTAAAAGCATTTACCCCCGGTAGATGTCACATCTAGTAAATAAAAAATACCTTTTTGGGACTCGAGTTACAGAGCTTGTATCAGGAGCTTGCGACACCATCACGGTGTCTTTATCAACTGGTGTTGTTGCGGCCCTCATACGAGCTCTGTAACTCAAGTCCCAAAAAGGTATCTTTTATTTACTTGATATAATAATGGGACTGGAAAGGAACTTTCATGCTCGATGTCATGTCTAGGTTTCATTTATAGATGTCCATGACAATGGGTGACCGAAAACCTGATACGTAGAAGGCGCCCGCTGAACGGTCAGAATCTCGATGTCAAGACACAGTCTTGTTTTGCATAATTAATCGCCGAATCTGCTGGCATATATCATAGACCCTTCCTGTGCAAGGTGATATTTCATAGACTAGCCTGCAACAACAGCCAATGCAATTCAAAATCAACTATCATATTAATTTTGACTTTTTAAGAGTATTTATGGCACCCTGACTGCCTGATACCATTAGTGATGCTACATATTCTTGAACTTGAGGTTGTTGAGGTCCATTTAAGAACACCGAGGTTTGTTTACAAATTTGCAATATTGGATGATAATGAATCATAAAATGGCACTATCAAATTATCGAAGTTTTCTCCCTGCCAATAAAGCAATAATATTAACGCAACTTTTTTTTCTTTCGCTGGTTGTTGCTGTTGTTTGTGTTCCTCGTTTTGGGATTAGTTTTTTGTTTGTTTAGGTATTTATGGAGGGGGTGTTGGAGGGGGGTTGGCATTTTTTGGTTTTGGTTTTAAATTTATTTATTTGGTCTTTTTAATTTCCCACATCCAAGGTACAATATGGGAAGACTTGTATATATTTTAAATGAAACCATGGCAATAATGACTAATGCTTAATCAAGAACAGCCAATGCAGCAGGACTCTACGGTAGCAACCCAGCCGACAAGCGCATCCACTAGATCGATATCCGGCTTGTTACTGACTAACGACCCTTGCTGCAGGTGCACCCAGCCCTACTGACGATTCATCAATGCGGAAATACCGGTACGTTTGACATTGTCTGACTATGCTTTTTAAACCATACTTCTGTCCTCTGCACCGTCACCAAATGGATCCAAGAGTACTACATTATATATACACTGTATATTATATATTGTGTTTCTGC